AGTGAGGACGCATATAAATGGCTAACGGAGAGGCCTCCACAAGAATGGAGTAGATCACATTTCTCTCTTCATGCAAAGAGTGATATATTATTCAATAACATATGCGAAGTGTTCAACAAGACCTAGAGGAGTGATAGGGAGAAGATGATTCTGACGATGCTCACTTCAATTCAACTGATCTTCATGACAAGAATTAGAAAGCGTCGAGACGCGATGATGAGGTACAATGGTAGGTTGTGTCCAAAAATTAGAAAAAAGCTTCAAAGGAATGCTGAGCACTCATGTGAATGCACATTGCACTTCTCTGGCGGGCCGAAATGGCAAGTAGAATGTAGCTTCGGCACATATGTCGTTGATCTACTAGAAAGGAGTTGTGTGTGTAGAGAGTGGGAGCTTACATGCATAGCATGTATGCATGCAATTTCAGTGATAAGAGAATGTAGGAATGATCCAGAAGATTATGTTGACAATTGCTATTTAGTTGAAACATATTTGAGGTGCTACAATTACATCCTCAACCCAATTAACGGGATGAGATTGTGGCCGGAGTTGGACGTGGTTGCTATAATTCTCCCGGCGTGGGTTGTTCCACAGAAAGGAAAGAGGCAAAAAAATAAGCAGAAGGAGGCAGATGAAGATGTGATAGTGCATTCACAGGATAAAACATATATGAGAAAAAAAGGATGATTGAAAATGACTTGTACAGAATGTGGACTACGTGGCCACAATAAGCGATACCATTCTAGGCAAGATGCTCCATCGGATGTGAGTACCATTACAATGGCTGATGAATTTCGAAAAAAATAACAATATTTGACTACTTTTTCCTTTCAACAGGATTGGTTTGAAGGCGGCTTGGAACCTGTTGAAACACAATGCAACACACATGCGAATGAACGAGTACGTTAAACATTTAATGTTGGAATTTTGCAAAAATTTATCCTGATTAGTTGCTGGAATTTATTTTGCTCAAAACTTCCCTTTAATACCGTTAAACATGTCAATGCAATGTTAGGGTAAGTTGGTTGGCACTGGAGGGAAGGGTGCATCTTCGGCAAATAACATCACACAACAGAGTTCTTTCCATTTTATGCCTACACCAATGGTCGCACACGAAGCAGAAGGGATCGTATTGCACCCGGTCCAGCAGTGATGATGCCTATTCGTGATCAACATGAAGCTGGTCATTTTGTAGAGGAAAATGTGCCAACTGTGGAAGTAAAATTTCAAGAAATGGACGCGGTCGACTGTTCGAATCTAAAAGGGGCAAAGGCACGAAAAAGAGGAGCAGCAAACATTTAACTCCAAGAACTACACTCGTTCGGGGTAAAGACAATGGTAGTAATCTGTAAAAAAATTTTGAGCGGCAAAGATGACAACAACATGAAGCTGGGCATTTTTAGCACTTTTTTGAGTTTTGACATGCAGTGCAGTGCAATGTAAATTTATTTTGAATTCATGTTATTGCCTTGATGGTTAAGCTTGGTTGTAGTTGATAAAGTGCGGATGATGATATATTGTACTCAATATCAGGCCGGAATTGTAACTGCCCTTTTGATTTCTTAGTTATACAAAGTAGTGCACTTTCTCCTTTATATCAAAGTTCATTTCTTAGTTATTTTCTCCTTCATGCATATTTTCCAGGATTTCTGGAACCTCGAAAGTTCATCAATATTTACCAGATATGAAATTTGTCCTAGTTTTAAAAGAAACTTAGCTTTTGTAACTGCAGGTAGAAGGGATGTAATTGGACCATATATCATTTTTAGAACTGAAATTTTTTGGGTGTTTGTGGTGGCTCTTGGTGGTGTTACAGGAGTTGGCTGGTAGTTTTGTGAACTGTACTGATGCTGAAATTGATGAAGCAGTAAATTTAGCAAAAGAGGCAGATTATGTTGTGCCGTGGGTGGTACTGTGGTGGTGTTGCACGGAGTTGAAGATGGCATGTGACTTGATTTGTGACGTGTGACCTGAGCTGCGACTTGTGATATGGGGTGTGACTCTTGACTTGTGACCTGAGCCGTGACTTGTGATATGGGCTGTGACTTGTGATTTGTGACTTGTGACCTGGGTTGTGATCGTAAAAAAAAATATGACAACCGTACAAAAAAATATAGCGAATTGTTCGTCGAAAAAATCGATGCCGGAACGATCGTAGGAAAGTTCGCTGGAGTAGGGCGATGATCGGAACGGTCCCCGAAGCGGTAGGGGGATGATGGTGGGATGGGTTAATTATATTATATTAGAATTAAATATTTAATAATAAATTAATTTAATAATTTATTATTTCATAAATAAAAATTTAAAATTTTTTAATAAAAATCTGATTTTGGAAATTTCAAACTTGTTTTCTTATTTTTGAAATATGCTAAACTTATTCTCTTGAATAGATAATCTTCCCATTAATTAATTGTGTTGTTTATTAATAGGCCAACATTAATTAATTGGATTAACTAATTCATGGACCAGATTTAATTTTTGGATTGGGTTAAGTTTAACAGATGGGCCAGCCCGCTTAGATTTATATTAATAGGCCGTTAGAGTTTGAAAACTGTATGAAATAATTCATTATTCTTGCTAGCGCAAGAAAATAAAACTCTAGTTATCATTCTTGTTCTTTGTGTGGATCACCATCGGAGGCTGGACAATTGGACAGTTTGGATTGCAGATCGTGATCATTCGAGTTCGAGAATCAGCAAAAGAGTCAGCAGAATTCATTAAGGATATAATACTTATCACAGTTTCTATCTAAACACAATGCAGATCCGTGGTGGGAATTGAAAATTGTTTATTTTNTAATTTATTATTTCATAAATAGAAATTTAAAATTTTTTAATAGAAGTCTGATTTTGGAAATTTCAAACTTGTTTTCTTATTTTTGAAATATGCTAAACTTATTCTCTTGAATAGATAATCTTCCCATTAATTAATTGTGTTGTTTATTAATAGGCCAACATTAATTAATTGGATTAACTAATTCATGGACCAGATTTAATTTTTGGATTGGGTTAAGTTTAACAGATGGGCCAGCCCGCTTAGATTTATATTAATAGGCCGTTAGAGTTTGAAAACTGTATGAAATAATTCATTATTCTTGCTAGCGCAAGAAAATAAAACTCTAGTTATCATTCTTGTTCTTTGTGTGGATCACCATCGGAGGCTGGACAATTGGACAGTTTGGATTGCAGATCGTGATCATTCGAGTTCGAGAATCAGCAAAAGAGTCAGCAGAATTCATTAAGGATATAATACTTATCACAGTTTCTATCTAAACACAATGCAGATCCGTGGTGGGAATTGAAAATTGTTTATTTTCCACTATGCATGATTAAGTAAATTCCCAACAGTTTTAGTATCTGTCTTTTCATGGTTCTTGTATACAACCAGGCATATAAAAGCCCCAACGAAGAGGAGGAACAAAATCGAAACAATTCCAATTGTAATCCTCTTTTTCAGTCTTTGTTTTCTTTCTTTTTTCCGCAATAATATCATATCAATATGTTGGAATGCCATTTGCTATGCAGCTGAGGCAGGATTGAATCTACCTTCCCCGCCTTTGATTCAAGCCATAGCAGAAAACACAAAAAAAATACTTTTTATTCTTTATTTCGTTTCTATTTTCTCTCTATTTTTTTAAATTAATGGATTGTGTCATTTCAATTAATTTCATGCTTTAGCAAATGATCAGAGGAGGACTGGACTAGAGAAATTTCAGAACCTCTTAACAAAATATCCATTCAGTTAAATGCTTAGACAATGGATGATGAACATTGTATCTATAATAAACACATCTCGAGCTAATTTTCTTCGCATCCTTGTTTTCTTCAATCTTCAAAATTACATTTTGGACCTCAAATATTTAAAAAAAATCAGCCAATGGTCTAATAAAAAAGTGATTGATCAGACATTTGGTTTATATACTTTATATAGTGGAGTCTTCTCTTGGCATTAAACCTTTAAGCTGTGGCCATAGTTATTAAACTTAAGGATAAAGCTGTTTGTACACCAGGTGTACGTACACCCGTCTCACATGAATAGTGTGCGCGAATATTTTAATGAGTGTGGAACCTCACTCCATGTAAGGGAGTGTAAAAGATTGAGTAAATGATTATGTACATGTGGCATGATTGTATAAAATAGTAGATATAGAATATAGACTTAACGAATATTTTATTGTGTGTGGAACCTCCCTCCATGTGAGGAGGATGTAAAAGATTGTGTGAATGATTATGTACATGTAGCATGATTGTAAACTTAAACCTTATCGGTCTAGTTTATCAAATCTGAACCTTATCCTCCAGTCAAATTGGGAAACCCATGAACCAGACCCTGGTTCAGCTTGATAACTACATTAGGATCAGTATGCAAATGAACCATACTTGAACTGGTCGAACTGGTTGGCTTTCACATCAGGAACATGGTAGGCTAAGCTTGACGAGTCATTGAGAAGTTTCAAAATTGCAATAGTGGGGTTTATCCCCCAAGACCTATTAGGTTTAGTATGCTAGTTCTTTATATCATGACTTCAAGTACAAACAATGACGAAATCTAGATATGACATGGAAAATCGAAAGAGAAAATTCATTGCTTTTGTGACAAAAAATAAACAAGTTAAATGTGGGTGAGCATTGATGTCAATTGAAGTTTAAAAATTGCAATAGTTCTCTGTTGATTTTCAATGCCATTGACGTCAATTGAAGTTGATTTATTTTATTTTTCTCGACAAACTTCGACACAATGTGTACATATACGTGTGTGAGCATATATATGCGCACTCGTGTGTGAGAGAAACATCAGTAGATGCACAAGTCTTGTGCATACACACTTACCAATAATCACAAAGAAAATTCACACCACAAGGTCTGCTTTACATTTGATCTTTCGTTAAAACTCCAGCAAATTGTTTCCTCCTCGAGCAATTTATTACAACTTTTTCACTACTAGTGAAATCAGGTTTGAATCTTATCTTTCAAAATGCGACTTTAACTGTACTGTTAGAGTCAGATTCCATTATCATAAGGGAAGTAAGTAGAATCCAACCATTCCTCTCCAGTTATGAACTGCGATACTGTAAAGTTAGAAGCATCCTTATAATCCATTACGTGATAACCCGGCCAAGAAACACGATTATCAGTTCTTGAACCAGGGCCATTATTTTCATACTCTCCATAATACAAAGTGTCCAATCCTTGATTACCATTCCAGTTAGTCCACCCTTCCGGTGCAATAAAATCATCAATGTAGGACTCCAAGTAAACTGTCCTGGAAAAATTTCTCCAGGGCCTTCCCAAATAACTCTTCACAGTGCTGGAATTAGAATACAAATCATCTGTAGCCATGATTGAACAATTTTGCAACGAAATCCCCGTGTCCTCATCTGGGGTGTCCCGGGACTGGGCTGTGATCACCGTGAACTGGCCTGACATTGGCATTCTGGAGATGATGTTACATCCTTGAAAGACAACTGCAGCATTTCCAAATATGTAGTCTATGGTTCCAAAAATGTCACATTCTCTGTAGAATTGTCTGAATGAATGTACATAGAGTGTATCTTGGTAGCCATTAATGGTGCATCGGTAAACAGCAGATAAATCTGCATTAACACGAAGGGCAACGGCCTGATACTTCTCTGGTCCTGCTGTGTTCTCGAACGTTATGTCACGTGCCAAGAAACCCTCACCGGAAACAGCTGAAATTAGTTAAAACAACCAAAATAATTACAATTCAGAGATGCTCCTTGAGCAAACATTGAAGGTAGAATAGCTCAATACTTCAGTTCTTAGTTCAATCTGGTTGCACATAAAAGGAAACATGAAGCATGCTTATCATATATATTATAAATAAAATATTTACGCAAAATAATGTTTTACCGGATTCATAAGCAATTACTCATAATAACGTTGCAAAAAAAGAAAAGAAAAGAAAAAAAAAAAATCTTATTTACTGATTTACTTTATTAGGAGAAAGATCATAAATAATTATTCATAATTCTAGCTAAAACCTATAGTAAAGCCAAAAATTCCAATTTATTTTTTAATTAATTTTTCTAATTTTATTACCAAATGAAAATAGAAAGAAACTTATTTTGTTATTTTTGTTCGAAGCTTCTTCTAGTTTTTGAAACACGTCCAATATGGAACAGTTAAACCTTTTTAAATTTGAGTGCTTCAGTGAGTGCAGTTATGCCACCAATTCATTGTTTTAATGAATAATATTTACTTAATAATTAATGATTAATTATGTTATTGTGATCAGACAAAACTTTCAACATATAAGCAAGAGAACAGAGGATAAAATGCCAAGAAATTTTAGCAGAAATTTGACTTTACCAACAGTGGCAGATCTGAAAGTAGTCCAACCATCTGCTACACTTCTGTTACCGCTTATTACTGTAACATCACTTCCATCACCAAGCAAAACAATGTTAGGCTTCCATCTTGGAATTTCCACATTTTCTTGATACAACCCTTCTTTGATGTAGATTATTATTCTATCAAAGCTGTTATTCGGGACAAAATTTATAGCATCCATAATTGTCGAAAAATTTCCCGTTCCATCAGCAGCCACTGTAAGAACCTCGCTTGGATCATATTCATCACCGGAACCCTGCAAAATCTGGCGATCTTTCTCGGAAAGCCACCTCGGAGTCGCTAAGAGATGCCTATTTTTTCGGCCTATAGATGCACCTGGATTGGAGAGCATTGATAAAGAATTGCTTATATGCTGATAAGTGCAAGTCAATGAATTCACCAGGCATGATTTTAGAGGGCCGGAAGCCGAATTTAGGCCTTCCAAGCAAGTGATCTTGTTTGTTAAAGCTGCACTTAGAAAGGCCATCACATCAGCCAATTTTCTTGAGTCTGGTGAACATAACCTGGAAATTGATTTTTCCAAGGAAGAAAGTGTTATTTGGTGAAGATCTTTGCAATCTTGAATGGTACCCTTCTGTTTTTCAACAATATTTGCAGCATTGGAAAACAGATTTGACAGTTTTATGCCTTCGGACAGAGCAGTTTTGAGTGATTGGAGAAGAAAATTAAGAATATTTGGACTGATACTTGGGGAGATGGACAGCTTCAGTGAATCAAAACAGGCATCAGGGAATGGTGTTGATCTGCAAACTATTCTGATTGCAGAAATATTGGAGTCTAAAGATGAAATTGAAGATGATGAAGAGCTGAGAGCATATGTTGAGAAGAAGAGAGAAGATAGAAGCAGGAAGGACTTAAGAATGGGAGATGCCATGACGTTAGAAGTAACACAGAAAACTGGAAAGTCGGGAATCTCAGTCTCTTCTATATGAGTATATTTGAATCATGGACGTCAACGTACAGCAACCCTCCTCCTCATTTACCTAAATTTGGACACTTTATGAAAAACACTGGTGCGTGTCTGTCTCGTTAAAATACAAGTAAAACAGATCATTTCAACTGGTGAAGTGGTGGAGACACAATAACTAATTTGATGTTAGTTTTACTAATGAAAAATTGCAACTATTCATGCATAATTGCCTGTCTAGTCCACCTGTTCGCAAAAAAGATGTGCATTCACGGGTTTCTGAATGAAAATGTCTCTTATGAATGGGCAGCAATACTTGGAAATGGTGTGCTAGGGGGTGTACTTGTGACCGGATTCAAAATAATTCTTTTTTATTCATTCACCACCAGTGAGATAATGTTAATAATTCATATGTTCATCCTTTAGTTACCTTGTGGAAATTTGTGTAAAATGGGTTGAGTTGAAAGCTCGATTAGAGGCCGGATCCTCAGCAAGGCCCATGCTTAGGTATCCTTTTGTAACATGAGGAAATTCGTCTGTAGTACGGGTTGGATTTACTAGACCAGTAGAAGCCAGAACGTGAAAAGATGAGGCCCGGCCCGGACTCTTGGGTGGGCGGGCCATCTCTAATTTAGAGACGTTCCTGTTAAAGATACTTTGTACACAAACCGCCAATTGTTATGGCTTATAACATAGAAGACCGAAGTCGATGGTTGATGGGTGAGTGGCGGGCATGTCGGTTTGTCTGCATTCTGTTGTATGGCCTAGCAAGATATTCAAATCCTAGACTCTGTGCTTAGGAAAAGAATGTGCCAATTTTTTCTATTATTTTATTTATTTGTTGAAGAGTTGGCCTAAAGCTTGAGTTGATTGTCTCTGATGGATGCTCACCCACATTATCTTTCGAGTATTACGACGTCGGAACTTGAGGGAGAGCTTGTAAGCCCAAAAAATACATAAACATGTTGGCTTATTAAAGATGGATGACTTGTTCTTTAGAAAAAGCAATAAGCGCCGCTTAATAATACTCTCCAAATGTTTGACTCAGTTTTAGAAGGTCAAGTTCGTGGTAGCCGTAGTAGTTGGGGGAAGCGGTAGCGGAACATAGGCGGAGGTTTGATAGAGCCTTTTACCATTTTACCTTCACACTTCTGTAAATTACAACAACCATCTTTCCATTCATCATAAAGGGTATTTTTGGTAATTGGTCGTCTTTATGTTGCTTAATAATATGTGGACCCCACAACTTCTCCCAAATATGCAAACTTTGCCTCAATTTGACTTCCCCCATAAACCTCCTTAGCACCAATCATCATCCACCCACCATATCATTTTATTATCTTTTAAGAGACAATTACAATGAGGGATGTGATGGTTTACCTCGTGTCTTACGCGTCCATAGAGTTGCACTAAATAGATTTTGCATAAGATTGGAGGTAACATCTGTTAAGTGATATATATCCCACATCGATAAATGATGTTAACACAGACCAATTAATAAAGATTTTGGGCTACTCCTCTTAATAAGGTTGACCTTTTAAGATGGACCCCCAATTCTTAACATGGTATTAGAGCCTCACGGGTTTAATCTCCCACCAATCCTCATGGCTGTCGATTCCTCCGATTCCCTTCTTTCCTTCAACACCATGATTCATATGGTGACAATTAAACTATCTTCCTCTAATTACCTTCTCTGGAGAAATCAGCTCATCCCACTTCTTGAATGCCAGGGACTTTCTGGCTATGTCAATGGGTCCATCGTTGCTCCACCCAAAAACTCCATCTTTGATGATGATTCTTCTACAGCAACCCAAAAATACATCGTATCAGAGCCCATTATGCTCCAACGAGCGATTCGATCCCATTAAGACTCTAAAATGAGCATGTGGATTTCAAGATTGGTCAGCTCAAATGAGCCACCATCTTGTGGGGGCATGTTAAGGGATATATATCACACATCGATAAATGATGTTGACACAAACCAATTAATAAAGATCTTGAACTACTCCTCTTAATAAGGTTGACCTTTTAAGATGGACCCCAATTTTTAACACCATCTCCTCTAGACTAGTGAGTACAAAAGCATGAGAAAATAAAATTTACGAGAATTTTAAGCGAATATGAATTCTCCTTTTCTGTGTCAACAATAATTGATGTTCGATTTGCTTAACAAAATCACGAGCATAGGCATCCTCCATATAATCTACTTTACGATTTTGACATCTCCAGGCAGCTTGCTTAATGAAGCGAAAACATTTATGATACTAACTCATGTAAAGAAGCACATATAAAAGCATGAGAACAAGAAAATTACAAAAAAAAAAAAAATCTTTTAATTCATGTTGATTCACTTATGAATGAATACCACACAGTTAGGCATCAAAGACTCATTGATTCCACAAAATACCAAGAATTCATTTCGTAAAACTGATTTTTCCAAAGACAAAGTGTCCTTATTTATTTATGCAATAAATTAAAATAATTTTATAAGAAAGTTTGAAAATATCATAATAAAAATTATAATTTAAGATTTTTTTTTGAAAACTACCATAAGCAAAACTTTAGTCAAATGAAAAAATTAAATCTAAAATATATTAATAAAATTCTAAAACTGTCAAGATAATATGATAGTTCTCATAAGTAGGTTACATCTTAAGTCTCTTTAACACCCATATCATCTATCCATCACAGCATTTTTATTGTCTTTCAAGACACAATTACGACAGAGGGGAAGTGTGATATCTTACCCCGTGTCTTACTCTTCCATTGAGTTGCATTAAATAAATCACACATTGAGTGAGTTTTAAAATATTTGGAAAATACTATACTAATGTGTAGTTGTGTACCACTGCGGACCTGATTAAGCACACCTTGTGTGCGGAATGGAGGCAGGTTCGTTTTTATGTTGTTTGATTTTAGTTATGAATAATGCAGTTGCATGCATGAGATGGCCTTCGAATATAGTGGTAGCAAATCATTAATTTCTTTGTGCAATGGTTTTAGTATATTTCTTTGAACCGGGGAATACCTTGGTTGACACTTTAGATGATCGAACACACACATCTCGAAAGTCGGGCATTATTTTATTCACGCGGGACCCACGTGCAACGTGAGGGTCGGTCACCCGATGTGTCAACCATTTTCGGGTAAAATGGCTTTACTCATATTTCTTATAAGTAGATTTCATGCAAAATGGACAAATTTTATTGTACCAAGGACTAAACTGGATTGCATGTAGAAACTTAACACTAGATCCGGGCGTTACTCGTATCAGAGGTGATCCACCTCCACATATTATTGAAGGGACTAAGAAAAAGTAGAGATTTATATTAGGTAGTATGGTAGGCACACCGTCTATTCATTGGAGGATGAATGAATACACATGAAATAATAATACAATTGTATGTTGCTAACTTATTAATTGTGTTTCTTTAATTCTTTATTTATTACCTATTAGGTGTAAGCGGTTCGGTTTTACTGGTTTTTGACAAATTTTCAAACCAAACTGTTTCAACCGGTTTGAGAAAAATTCAAACCTAAACCAAACCGTTTTGACTGGTTTGAAAAAAACTCAAACCTAAACCTAACGGTTTGGTCCGGTTTTAAACTGCTGGTTTCGCGTATATATTTTTGCATGTCTAGTGTCTACTTTTATGCCATTAATTCAATATATATTTATATCTTACTGACAATAAATCTAAAATAAACTAACTATATCTAATATAAATTTAAATACCAACAAAATCGAAGTAAAATCACAATAAACTAAAATCACAGTCATATAATTCCAGAGACAACTTAGACGGATTTCATGTTCAAGAATCAAGAACACGCAGTTATGTAACTAAAATTACAGAACTTCGAAATTAGAAATAATACATAGATCACAAAAAACCACGAATTTGGAGATTTTCAAGAATCGAGATGACAAACTATGTTTAGTAATAATTTAGACGGTTTCCATGTTAAAGAATCAAGAACATGTAACTAAAATAATAATTAAAAAAAATCACAAAACTAACCCATAGGTCACAAAAAATCGCACAGTCTTGCAACAAAATTGAAGGCTATCAGTTGTGACTGACCGTAGACTACCAGCGACCGTCGCTGACAACTGAAAATTCTGACCGTAGACTACCGACGATTTAAGGAAAATTTAAGAGTGAGAGAGAGATAAATGGAAGGTTAGGGATTATGGTTGTGTTTACGAGAGTTTGAGTTTATTTTTTAAAAAAAATTAGAATAGCGGGTTGGGTTGGGATTTGGGCGGGTCATAAATTGTAATAACTAATAGGAAATTAGAAATTGACAAAAATACCAACAAAATGACAAAATTATTGAATTTACAAAATTGGAATTTTGGATAAATTTTCAAAAAAAAAAATCAATTTTTTATTTTTTAGTTTATATATTTTTTCGCCGGTCCGGTTTAGTTTTAAACCGTAATTAAAATTCCCAAACCTAAACCAAATCGTTTTTGACCGGTTTGGTTTGGTTCAAAACCATTTCGTTGACGGGTCCAAGTGGCACCAAACCGTCGGTTTCGAAATTACGTTTTCGGTTCGATTTTCCGGTTTTGCGGTTTTTGCTTACAGCCCTATTACCTATCGAATTTTCGTAGATAATATGAATTACGATTCACCTACGAAAAATTGGTTAAAAGTCGAAATGATATTATTACTATATACGGAGTTTTTGTAGGTGAATAGTTGGCAGTTTTTATAGTTTTTAATATTGAATAGCATAAACCTATCGAATTTTCATTGGTAATATAAATTACTCTTTACTTGAAACATGTCGATAGGTGAAATTTTGAAAAAAAAAAT